AAATCGGTTGACAGTGTCGATGAAATTCTGTGGATTCAACGAAGAAATCGGCAGAAGGAAAAAATCAGGGCTTTCACAAGGTCAGCGATGGATCAAGGAACTTGCTGCTTGCACCCCTATGAAAAAAGTATATTTATGTAGGCACCTGTTCCCGAAAAAATATTAAGTCAATTTGAAGCTTTATTCCTTCAATCCTTCTAATAGAACGTTTTATTAGCAATCAACGAACAATTTAAAGAATCATATAAACATTATTTTAAGTCCAGTAAAACGAAACGCGTCTAAGAAATTTTGTCTATCTATGTATCGTAACATAAATTGCCAGACCATTAATATATAGGAAGACTCTTGTACGTAGTTGATACTCAGATTGTTTATTTTGGCTCCGATCGGTATTTACAAATAAGTTGCGTTGGAACATAAAATGCGAATACTGAAAACCGACGTAGGTATATATCAAAATTGTAAATGCATCGATGGCAAGGGAACATATCGTTTACGCTTGAAATATTGAGTGCGTGTTGCCAAATTTGTAAAAACGTCAATAACATATTTTTGTATCATGTTTTCGTGTACCAGGTAAAATTGGAAGGTACAATGAACACTACTTATCGCCTACAAAAAATTACAAAGATGCTGATGTCTATTTTATCTTGATGTCTAGGTAAGTGAACTATATTTTGCACGAAATTCATAAAGAATATTAGAGATAAGTGATTATAAATTCCCGGTTACTGCATCAAAGAGCCATAAATTAGTGGTGTAAGATTATGTAAAGAATCACGGTCTATAAGCGAGGCTTTCGACCCTGAAAATCACTCAAGATTCAAGTTGACTGCATATATGAAATTGAAAATGACAGCCAACTTTGGGCCTTTAAAAAGGAATCAATTACTAAAATAAAAAGGTTGATGAAACTTTAAAATTTAAAATAATTAAATGGAATCAACTTCAAGTTTGAATTACTTTCAGCAACAAAAACTCCAATTATAGACAATGATCCTTTGATATTTCTTTTGTAAGTGACACACTACAAAAGCATTCATATGGTAGAGAGCAGTCGTATGAGATTGTTCAAACAAGTTCGCAGTGGCGACGCGTGACTTTTCCTAAACTGTTACCAAAACCATATGAGTAAAATCTTATTAAAAAAGGTTTATTTTGGCCGCCCCATGTAAAAGTTTTTGCTTATTTTAGGTATTGTATTTGAACTTTTTTTAAATTAAGGTAAACATTGCTGGACTGGGCGTCTGCGGCACTTGATATACCTCATCGTCTTATGCAATGACTAATCCAAGCCTTCCGAAAAGCAGTAGACGTTTCTAGATGTTCGGATTTCTTTTTTGGCAATTAATGTTAACAATTCCCAGTAATTTTCTCTATTGTCAGAGTCATCCCCTTCAAAATGACCCCGAAATGGTAATTCTTGTTTGGCCATAAAACATACAGCATCTATAAGTGTGCTGTGCTGCCTAAAATCTTGGTTAAGACAACTTTCGATTCTTGTTTTGCCAAACTGAATCAAATTCGCTACACATCTGACATGTAAAGGAGAAATTTCAGGTCTCCTCTTCTGGTCCACTCATTTCTTTTTGTAGAAAAGAGAAGACATGGCCAACAATACAATCTGTTTTCTTGCAACCACATAACCAAGAGTTTTCAATATACCATTTAAATTTAAAATATCGAACTACTTTTTTTTATTCCTTTTTAAAATTATCTAAAATAAGTTGGTTTTCCATTTTCAATGATCTCCTTTTTTTCTTCAAAATTATACAAGGAGAATGACTTTTCAAGTACATAGTTAATCGACTACGCAGCGACACTCATCCATGTTTAATTGCATGCACACTACAGCCGGCAACCAAAACGATTATTATAACCAGGGAGAAGTGAGTAACCAAAACAAAAATGGTAACAAGCCTACATAATAATCGCGGCGGCCCAAGCACTTGGGCGACCGCGATCAGACACGAGCCGTTTCCGACTGTCCCCGACATACTATCAAGTGCATCCATAAACGAAAATGGTAACAACCAAGTCGAGGCGAGTCGGCTTCATCGCGTTCGGAAAATCTAGACAGTATTAAAGGGCGCATTATTTTCGTGGGGCTAATCTGCTATTTACTGAATTACTAGTACATATTGCTGGGCAAACAAATGAATGAAATTATTATATATATATATATATATTATAACTGTTACAAATGGTAACAATGGTTACATGGACGCTTCGCCACTGCAAGTTCGATCTCACATTACTTAACTGATTGATAGATCGACAGTACGTGTTTTCGTCTGAACAATATACATTAGAGCACGTTAAATAATGATGGAGCATCAACTATCACAAACCAATAGCATCTAGTAGAAGCCGTTAGGCTTGAGTGTCTCATTAATAGTTTGAAGTGAATTAGTTCTACCAGTAAATTATGTATGAAAAAATATACATAAGCAGTTGTAAACATTTTGAAGCATGAATGAAGCTTTAAGGACTTTCAAAAAGAGTGGGTGTTGTTTTACTAGACAATAGCTTACTATCACCAGAAAATTTTTTTACACAGCATGTATGTAGATAATAAAACGAAACACCCAAAATCATTGTAAGAATAAGAAGTAGTAAGAAGTTAATTTTTATGGTTATTGGGAGTAAATATTTTAAATGATGTGTTAACGCATATATGAACGTTACATTTTATACTCAGGTAACAACTAAAGTAATGACTAATATAATTTGTTAATGGAGAACAACTCATCAAGTTTTGATACCCGTAGCTCTGTGGTCTATCAACTGACGAGTAAAGTGCAAAATACCCAAATTAATGAATTCATTAATTCTTAAGTTTTCATTCTCTGAAGCCACAAAGTAACGAAATTCGATACAAAATATGAAGTTAGATTTCATGTGATCGCAAATATTCACAAGTATTTATTAGGGTGTTTCAACGCTATGAGAAATATATTAATTACACCAGAATGTGCTATATTAATTTGTTACAAGCATGAAAGAAATATGTGGTTGTTGTAAGTTGATCAAGTTCGATAGTTACTTAACTATCGATCTCACGATGTACAGAAAATGACACTCGCTCCTGGGTGTGGCTTGGCGCCTTTTTTATAAAATTTTGTTACAAGGAGAACTATTTCAAGTGCCGCTACAATCGATGCGAGCTCATTTTGAATGTGATACTGGGTTGTATTTGGATTTGTGGTGAATGTTATATAGAACAAAACAAGTACAGGCATATTTCTTAAACACCGTCATTAAAAAGTATGGTTATGGATGTCGTCGCGTCATATAAATCAAATTCAAGCGAACAACCAAATGAAAATGGTATTTAGCATTTGGGATTGGTATTTACCGATTCGTTCAAGCGAGTGTGGTTATCAGTTTGGATATTTGGAAAACAGAATGCCACAAGAGAAATTAAAATAATTGTGACTCAGAAACATATCTATTTACCTTGAAGGACGACATGCGGTTTAGGTACAGCAGCTTAAACATGTGATAATGGAAGTTAATTAAGGAGTTTGTTGAAATCTTCACGTAACTAACAACCGATATATCCCTTTTTTAAATTTTTCAGGTATTCATGAATTTACTTCTATCATGTACAAGGTGGGCTTATGGAACTTATTTCCGATTGGCCAATTTTCGATACAATTTCACGAAGACGCTTTCTAAATAGCCATTGTTGATACGGATCATAGGTTTTGCAAGCCAGATCAAGTGGAAAAATATGTTCTTGTAGCCAAACCAGGTGATTTTTTGCTAGTTTGGGGGATTTTTTTAAAGAAATCAACTATATTCATTAGAGCCAGTACGAGAAAGACGCCTTCTCATTGGTCTATTATGATTCGGATCAAGATTCTAACTCCCGCGGGTCAATAGCGAAATCGTGCCTTAATACAGGGTGGCCAATATATAACTGACTGATTTAAATTGTGCGCCATTCTTGATACACGCATTTCAGTAGGTGGCACCGTAGTACTTGTTTAAAGCACATATGTCCAATTCATCATGGGGCGCTATACGATCCCACAATGCGTCCGTATTGTTAAAACGTTTTACTTAAATTATGAGTCGATTGTTGCGATGATTCGGAAGCTCCGTCAAGATTTCGGTCAAAATAATGTGCCCAGTGTCAACACCAATCGTCAGTTGGTGCGGAAACTTGAACAAACAGGTGAAATTAAAGACTTGCCAAGGTCGAGCCATGTTCGAACTTTTCGTACTCCGGAAAATATCGAGAGAGTTCGTGAAAGTGTAGTGGAGCGCCCTGAGACGTCTACCAGGCATGGGTCTCAAGAACTGGGTATTAGTCGCACGTTATTAAGCACTATTTTAAAAAAAGACTTGCATTTGCGGCTATACAAAATTCAGTTAACTTAAGAACTACAGCCTAATACCCAAAATAACGATTTTTCTCGACAACTGATAATGAGCGATGAAGCCCACTTTGATATGAACGGATTTGTTAATAAGCAGAGTTGTCATATCTGGAAATTAGAGAACCCTCGTGTCAATCCATCAGCGACCACTACATCCTCGTCGAGCCACAGTTTGGTGCGGTGTTTGATATGGAGGTGTCATTGGACCTTACTTCTTTGAAGACGTTGCAGATAATTCTCTTACTGTCACTGGCGAGCGCTATTGTGATATGGTGCACAATTTTCTGGATACTCAAATCCAACAATTTAATCTGCAAAACATATGGTTCCAGCAGGGCGGAGCAACTTGTCACACAGCTAGGACAACAATGAATCATTTGCGAACAATATTTCAGTGACGTTTAATTTCTCGATTTGGTGATGTCAACTGGCCACCAAGGTCACCGGATTTAACGGCTCCTGACTTTTATTATGAGGATTTTTGAAAAATAGGGTTTACGCCAACAACCCAAATACCGTAGAGCAGTCAGTTACAATCGGCCGCCGTGCAGCAAACCTGGTGGTTTCGTTACAATACTTAAATACTATAACAACGAGATGCATCCTTACCAAAATCCTTCCGGTGGTGGTCTGGCCGGAGATAAGTTCTCCCGCCCAATCCTTGGCCTCGGTCATGAACGTGCCCTCGAACTCTTGTTTGCCCCTCTGCGCCTTCTGCTCTTTCTGCTTGGGGTCGTTGGGGCCCAGTTCGGCCTCTTTGCGACAGCACAGGAAGGCGAACAGCCGCCATACGAGCACCACCAGCAACCCGGCCAAAAAAGTACAGATCGACGACAGCAGGAAACACCAGTACTTCCGGGTCTCCAGGCACGGATCGCCGAGGGTGATTGTACCAGTGACATTTTGCAACTGCAACAACAAAGAAGAAAATGATTCAATAGTAATAATAATATCGTCTTTATTCACAAAGCTACATAAGTGCGATTCATCATTGCAAAGTTTGGCTAAAGCTATTCTTAACCTTAACCATATAAATATAAAAGATACAAAACAATTAAGTTTTTGTATGGCAATTTCGCAATGGTATTAAAACCAGTTAAATCAAACATGGAACTAGTATAAGTGCCTACAAACATAGTGTGCCGATAAACTAAATTGTAGATGTGTTATTAAGAAATACTTAACAAAGAAAAGTTATAACGTAGAACTCTCTCTGTAAGTATATGTAGCTCAACATGCTTATGAATAGAATGTTTAACATTCACAGCAATATTAGTATAGATACTATCAGCATTATAGGAGAATGAGCGTTGGAAAAGCGAGATGCAATGATGAGATACTCAATGCATATCTAAGGGTTTCGTTCCGTATTTCAATAGAAAAAGTGTTTCACTTAGATGTGGCAGATGGGTCTACCAGTTGCGAGCAGTTTATTGAGGATATCAAATAATCAAAATTAGTCAAATACTCGAGCTTCATCCACCCAAGCCTGCTGTAATCATGGAACACAAACCTTACGTGAATCTGACAGAGTTGTCCTGAGTCACTTTAGTGAGCTGACCCAACCAAGGCTGGTGAATAATATTACATAAATCATAATTGAGAGAACAAGGGGTTTGGCTAGCTTTTTTTACAATACAGATACAGATTTGCATATAAAACACGTAATGTCTAACAGGATTTTTGTAATATGCTATAAACATAACTTCTGAATCTTAAGTTAGTATCTTAAATGACGCTAAGCATTGTAGACTCATTACTAAATTCTATGCGTTCCGATCAAATTTTGGGATGGAAGGTCCAGAGGATGCGCTCACGTCTAGTACATAAAATTTTACACTACTGGAAACTGATTTCGAAAATTCCATACTGATTTTAAACCGGTTCTGAACTAGTTCTAAAGGTGCAAATCCATAATGAGATTTTTTCATGATATTGTTGTCTCGTGAAATAAAAATTTAATGAAGAATATCACGTATATACGTGCGATGATCGGTCTACAGCTGCTGGAATTGAATTTCGCATAATATGTCTGTCTTGTTTTATTATTGCAAACATTAATTTTTCCAGCAAATACCGAAAATCAGCAGCGGGCATTCGAGGAAAGTTTTTACAACATTCCTGATCATTTCCTTCTAGTTATTCTAGTAATGTTTCCGTTATTCTGTTATTTTCTCTTTTCTTAATCCAATCTCTCACCCAACATTTGTGAAGCCTTTTGTCTACAGTATGACACCTAACAGCATCTTATATTTTGTTGGCATCTTCAACCCACATTTATTTGATAATGATCAATATATTTATGGTGTACTTTTCTCTGTTTCTCTCACGTAAATACTGTGGAAACAGCAGAGCTCAGAGACACCACGTGAGAGCAAACATTGTAAGTAGCATAACGCATTACTCAAGTTTTTCGGATCCCCATGTTGCTGAGGAAACACATCCGAGATAAATTTCTCATGAGACAAAAATCTCTTGAGATTTAAGTCTCCTTGTGGGCACTTAGCATTACAGTTTAGGTTCTGAGAAAGATGTGCGTTTATAGAATAAATGACGTCGATCGGATGTTCATAGTTGGAAAAAAACTGGGTAACGATCAAGATTACTTTGGAATAGATTCAAGTGTTGATGAAGATCTTGAAGAGTTCCATGTTCAAAGAACCAGAAACGAAAATTACATAGGTAACTTATTTCATTTCAAGTTAGTTAATATTAATATTCTAGTTAATTTCTTCTTCAGCAGTGTAGGAAACATGTCCTTACACAAAAGTTGGTGCAAAGCATAATAACAGTGTATCACCGATGCTGTACAAACAGGGAGATGTTGCGTACTCTACTGGACAGTAGGATAACCACATGACTGCGCTGCGCGTCGGTTATGGTGGTAAAGCTAGAAGTAGTCATCCTAGTAGAGGGCGCGAGAGCTCCCTATTAACAGGGCTGGATTCATGAACAGGGACTTTTGCACGTTAGTCAAGTAAATTGAATATTTAATGGATTTTTGTTAAAGAATAAGCATTCTGAAATTTTATTTATGTCCTTAAAGAAATAGTCAAGCACAATTTAGTACAGCGACAGAGAGACACTTACTTTAACAAAATTCTTATCTAATTGCTGACATATCAATATAGGTCTTGCATCAGATTTGTATCCATGCTTCGCGTATGGCGCAAATGCTTCTTTTCATTGGTACATTTTATAGACATAGCCGCGAATTTAGTGTCTGGTCGAAAATGAAAAACAGGTTTTTGTAGCTGAACCAAGTGATTTAGGGTTAAATATGGGAATTAGGTGTCCATCTTATACAAACCGTATAATTATTCTCTAGTTTGAGACACATTTTACAAGAAATCGACCATATTCGTTAGACCTATTACTTCAAGGCCGCCTTCTTATTGGTTGAATTTGTGACACATGCGCTTTTTTGTGCCCCGCTTAGTAAAATTGGGCCTAAAAACAAAACTTTGAACTAGGAATTTGTTGAAAATATTTCACCAGGGTGCCCATGTTTCATTAAAGATTTTGATTATCTCAAAAAACGATATATTCTTTCAAATTCGAGGTCTAGCACAGGGAAACTAATAATTACTAACTTAATAATTCTAAATTTTACTTCATTTAAGTTTATGTTTACGACAACAAGCCATGTAGTTCTCTGTTCCAACAGAATAATCCGGAACTGTACCTATCTCGAATATGGGCAGAACAATACTGAATAAGTACTGAACCAGTTCGGAAGTCGAATGACAAAATTTAATAACGGCGTTGCTGGACAGATTTTCAGAAACTGCCAAACTTGTTATGGTAATAGTATTTGATCAAAGTTTCATCAATTGACATACAGCCGAAATAAATCTAATCATAATTTTGTTTCAATGACAAATTTATGAAAAATATCTGTGGATATTGTAACTAACAGATCCGTCGGGTTCCCGGGGTCAAAAGCTTCTTAATAAAGTGAACCCTCTAACTGATATGGAATAAACAAAATTTATCACTCCTCACCCATTACAACTTCCTATTTTTAAACTTTCCTATAAGTTCCAGAAGGAATCACTAAAATGGCGAAAAATTAAATTAATTATTTTATTCATTTTTGAATGAAACAGTCAATATATATATATATATATATCCAATTTTATTTATTTGCCATTTTTTTACTACACACTACACACTAGTGTCTGGGAAACTTACAAAACGTCAAAAAAATAAGCTTGCAATTTTTTAAAAATCCCAATACCTAGAGAAATTTATCGACTACACTCACAAAATGTCAAAAAAGGGGGATAAACATGAATCACGATAAAAATCAAAGCTATTGATTACTCTAATTTTTTATACGCTTCAAAATGATCAGCATAGTGAAAAAACAGCAAAGTCCTGGAATGGTCAATAACCTGAGAAATGACCTAATTTTTTTGCGGACCCAATAAAACTGAAACCAAACATTTTTATGTATGTTATTCTACGACTTTCATGGCTTCCACTCATTTTCGTAATAAAATTCACATTCCTATGTGCCAGTTTTCACATCATTCATGATTTAAGCTTTGCAATTTAGTAATGAAAGTAGTAAAGTATCGGATAAGTTCGGTTTAAAAAAGAACGATAAATGAATGTAAGCAATGTTGAAACTAGGACACCATGATTATTTGACCAGACAATTCTGTCAACATGAAAACCACAAGATAACTTTGAAGTGTTACATTCATGCTGAAGCGTTTGTAAATGTTGTATAACACTACATATTAAGTTAAGGATCAAGATCAAGGATTCATGTGGAGACGACACCACATCTAAAAAAATAAAAGCTTAGAACCGAGTTTCTCATGGAATATTGATGCCATAATCATGATTTAAAAGTATTTCTAACGTGTATGCAGTATGTATAATGTTCTCTGTTCTGTAATGTTTATCGGAGAAAAGACTACCTCTAGTAAGATTACATTTAGGTCTTTTAGATACAAACTGTTGAAAAATGCAGTAATTATGATCCAATGTAAGTTCATTGATATTGGTAGTAGGCCAACTTTAGCCAAAGCTCCCTCAGATAGTAAGTTGTTTCGTTAGTTGACAATGTTCAATGATAATGTCAAATAAATGACGTCTCAGGTATACGATAAATATTTTTAATTTTGATTATTGTTAAAAAAAGGCAGTCATACTGGAGGTTTGGCTGAAGCTTTGACCTAAACTTTTTTATATGATAATCGAATTCAAAATGGTGCTCTTTAAAGTTCTGATCTCAATATTTTGCAATTTTTAATTGGTAACCAGAAAACTCAGAACGGATAAATCTGTTTTGAAGGGGCTAAGCCTTCATCAAATGACCTTAGGAGTATGGCATTCAATAGCTAGACTTTTTGTGACCTAGTGCGCTTAGAGTAAGAATCTCAATTTTTTCAAACGTAGTGCCTAGATAAACGACTAGATTGTTGTATAACTAACATTTTGCGTTTGCTGTTGAAGGGTATTAGTGACGATTTGGTTGGTGGTGCAATTGAGATTGGCGGCAGCGTTGGCAGAAGTCGTCATGCCCCGTGGAGATGGTGCTGCATGAGGAGCTGCTCATTCACCGGTGCGGCAGCCACAGCATCGGTACTCCCTTCTAAGTACTATATGATTCCAACCCTTCACTACTGGGCGACGAATCACAATAACAACCACCACATCGGAACTTTAATGAATCGCGATTGCTCTCTAGACCACCACGACGGCGATGATGTCCACCGCGTGCTCGTGCTCTACAACACGATCAACGATCGACTAATGTCCACCAGGAGCCAGGAGGTCGTCCGACAACGCGCAGATGGCGCGCGGGTTGACACCGCGAGATTTTATACCGTGGAGAGCATGCTCGGAGGCCCGGCGGAGTTGCCAGTTTCCCGGGGCTTTCCCGAGGGAACGAGACATCGCCGAAATTGAAGTACCTCCGGGATCAGCATTGCGACTCATGGCTTTATTGCATTTACGTGGGAAGCAAATTTGATGTTAGTATCTTATGTTCGTAGATCTGATGGAGTTGCCCATTTCCTGGGGCTTTCATGAGGGAACGAGATCCCGGTGAAATTGGAGTACCGCAAGGATCAGCAATTTGACTCATGCCTTTATTGAATTTACTTGGGAAGAAATTTTGATGATGAAGTCTATGCTGGGTGACCTGGCGGAGTTGCCGGTTTCTAGGGGCTTTCCCCGAGGAAAGGAGACACTGATAATAATGGAGTATAGCAGGGATCAGCAATGAGACTTATGCCATTATTGCATTTGCGTAGGAAGGAGTTTTTTCAAACGAACGAGATACCGGCGAAATTGCCTTTACCTGGGATGGCGTGGATGTCGATTTCCCGGGGTTTTCCCGATGAAACGCGATACCGGTGAGATTGGAGTACCACAGAGATTAGAACTCATGACTTTATTACATTTCCGTGGGAAGGAAATTTGATGATGGAGAATACGCTATCGGTTTTCAAAGACCGGAGCCTGATTCTAATTGAAGTTCGGCCGTTGAAATTGAAACCTTGATAATGCTATGATAGTTTGGCTATAGAAGATCGCTAGAATCGGGTATCTAAATTATATTAGCGGATGTTATATGTGTGACGCGAAGGCGGCATTTAAATTAATTTCAACATTTAGATTGAGGCCCCATTCACATGAAATTGAAGTACCACAGAGATCACTAGAGGAGCCTAAAGGAAGCATCCCGTCCTACTTAATGGGAATAGAGAGCAAGTCTGGTGCACGATCGGTTCATCCTGGTAGTGAAAATATTTAAGTCTAGAAGAAGGCTCTCACAGTAAGTAGAACCATCTACGAGAAGAAGAATATGCTGGTTAGACATCTATAGACGACAAGGTCTTGGCATTAAGTGACATCAAAATTATAATATGAGTCTTCTCAGGTGTACTCAAGGCAAAATTTAAACAAGAAATACGGAAAACATCCCAAGGCCTACCATCTACCAAGACCTACGCCTTTTTCTTTTTCACTATGGATTAGTATTTTCACATAATTTATAATAATAATTTTTGGTCAAAGTTTCTATCATTTCCATTCGTAGAAATATTTTCCCATTTGACGTCATTTTGTATATAAAATTTTCATTGTAGAATCGACCGTATTAGATTAAGGAAAAATTCACTTACGATACTTCCAAACTCTATGCCTCTTTCTTGACTTACGACACATCCGATAGTTTCACTTAGCCTAATGAAAATATCGCGTGCTTTATAACGACTCTGAAGAGTTGTACTAATAAGTTAATATGGAAGCGAGTTAAAGGTTGTCGAAGTAATGAATGTTATTATTAGGTTGTTACTGTGTAACAATTTCCTAATTCCTTTCTTATGGTGATTCCTTATTCCTTCAAGTTACTTTTGATTGGGGCGGATCAACAAGATGATAAAGAGTGTAATCAAATCAGGGAGATCAGTTTCCCTCAATATTTGAATCAAAAAATGTACTAGAAGGAAGGCTTGCCTACCTAAAGGTGATATGAAATGCCGATGCGTGGAGCATAGATGAGCAAATGAACATGTCCGTTATTTCTTATGGCCAAACTGCTAGAGTGCGCCACTTACAGCACTATTTCGGTAAATAACTTATCATAACCTTTTTGTACTACTCTGTATACAACAACTGACCAAAAATCTTATTTTCTCGTATTTCCACAACAAAAAGGTTCACTTGTTAGAAGTGTCCAAAGATAATAGTTTTGGAGATATTTGTTTTTAAAGGTTCCAATGCATTATTTCTACCATGATGATAAAACATTCTTATACCATAATAATCAAGTTGCTTTGGATGATATCTGAGTAGCGTTGCTATGGTTTTTAACAATAACAAATGAGGATGGCAACAAAACTAATAAACGGAATGAATAACTACAAAAATTGTTCATAATGAGCACGACCCTTCCTAACACACTCTCGAGCTCGATTAACTAATCCTTGCTGTACTGTCCAAACCATTTGGATGTTATTTTTCATTTCCTGGCTATGGTGGAAAATTCTTTGTCGAAGATCATCTACAGTTTCCCTGGCGTATTGTAAACGCGTCGTTTTAAATCACCCCAGAATAAGAAATCCATGGGATTTTAAATCTGCTGATCTAGCCGTCCACGATACAGGTCTGGGTAAACTCTATTTAGGTGCTCTCTAACTAATATACTAAAATGAGGTGGAGCGCCGTCGTGCATAAACCACATATTCATGCGAGTTTGTAATTGTTCTTCAAGAAATTGTAAATACCTTTGGCCATTTAGTCTAGGTGGTAACTCAACGCGTCCTATTAAATATTGTCCAATTATTCCTGCCCATAAATTAATTTTTAATTGTACTTGGTGGCGTGTTTCTATTATTGCATGAGGATTTTCGTCTGCATACATGTGAAGATTATGCGAGTTAATGAACCCATCCCTTCCAAATCCTGCTTCGTCTGAAAATAATATTAACGAAGTTAAACCATTGTCGTGGTTAAACTCCCTTAAGAGCCATGTACAAAACCTTAAATCATGTACTTTTTGCAGGTGGTATAGATGGAGCAGTTGCTCTTGAAAAATGGTAATTACTGTACATTAGGAAAGTTGAAATTCCCGAGCTAGATTCCGAACCCCAACTGAAGGATTTTCAAAGACATCATCTAAAACATTTTCTTCAACTTTAGCTGTACGTACAGTTGTGGGAGCTCTACTATGTCGGCCCATATTTTGAGCAAAACTACCTAAAATCCAAATGGTTTTTACTATTCAAAATAAGGCTATAATTATTTCTTACCAGTTTCTCGTAACCGCTGACCGATTCGTTGGAAAGTCTTTGAATTAGGCAGGTATCTATTAGGGAAAACACTTCTAACAAGTGAACCTTTTTTGTTGTGGAAATACGAGAAATTAGATTTTCCGGTCAGTTATTATAAAAAATAACGCATTCTTGTTTCTTTTACTAGAAAACCTCCCTAAACCGAGTTTTATACCAAAATCTGAGATACTTCTCAAGCAATAAGGAAAATAGGAAATAAAATTGTAACTTTGACACCCTGTATCTCGCAAACTGTCAACTTTTGGACTGAGGTACGTTTAGGTCAATTCACATATTTTAGTCTGTAGTATCTCCAGTTTCGAGATTTCTCAACCTTTCACAGTTTGAACGTCAATAAATACTGCGGCGCAGAGTTCTCGTCATTTATCAAAAACATCACTTGCAGGCTAAGGCTAATAATTAATGATTGTGTCTGCAGACCATTTCCATAAAGGATTTTAGTAAAACAGCCCAACATACCTTTCACTCAATGGAAAAGCTATTAAGTCACAACTGTGAAGCTTTGTAGGTTAAAGTCGAATGAAAGTTATAATAACAGTGCACAGAAACAAACTCATGGTCACTTTAGGAGTCAGTTAATTTTATTAAAGGGTCTCCAAAACCCTCATAACTTAGAACTAATTGTTAAAAGTAGATTGTTGATACGCGAAAAATTTTCAGGCTTTTGCACAGGTCGTTAACGAGATATATACAGGGTGTTCCAGCTTTCCAAAGGGGTACCAATAATTTTTTGAATCAAGTCGATTGGACATGAAAAAGTGGTTTGGTTGTCCGTTAAAAGGCGTCAAAGTTTTCTATTTAAATCACATGTTTATCGGATATTTTTGGATCTGGTATTCCCATTGGATTGACATTTTGGAACACATTTGTTTTTTCTAGACGTCCTAACATTCCACTTTTACAAAAAAATTCGCAAGGCTCTGAGAAGGGTATCCCTACATAAATTATAGCAGAATTTTTTCACAACTCTCTCAATCACTTTGAATTTTCTTCATTAAAAAGTTTTTTCATTTACATTTTTTCTCTTTATAAAAACAGGCCATACCGCATAGCTAAAAAAAATGTATGTACCGGAACAGAAATGATGATGATTGAACACGTTCTATGAAAGATTCGCACTATTGACTGTTTTAAATAAAATTGTAGTAAGTATTATCATACTTGCGTATTTTCGCTAACTACACTTAAAGAATTAATAATACGCTTGGAAATCTCATGATGCAACTAATTTATTTTCTCTCAAAACTGACCTGTATTTATAGGAGCCAAAAAAATAGGTAAATAAAAAGATCTGCTAAATAAAATTCAGAGTCGTCGAGTAAGTTGCCAAAAAGTTCTGCTATAATTTATGTAGGGGTGTTAGTGGTTTCTACCCTTCTCGGGCCCTTTCGAGTTTATCGCAAATATCAAATATTAGAACGTCTAGCAAAACACGTATCCAAACTTCTTTTAAATCGGATTATCGGTCCCTAAAATATCTAATGTACCTAAGAAAGAAAACTTTGACGCCCTTTAATGGACAAACGAAGCTCTTTTGCATATAGGTACGTGGTACTTCTATGTCCACAGAATATTGGGACACTCTGTGAAGGCCGCAAAGTGGTTCTTTTACATACTTTTATAGCTTAGTTAGAATGTGGTATGTTGGCTTATAATGGCTTGTCGGTATTATTTAGATTCTCATTACTGCATTATTCAATTCAATAATTTCTTTTACTTTCTGTATATTCTGTATTGACTTTTTATGGGTTAAGTGGTAGACTGGCTTACGCTAAACATCAACCAATAAAGACGTTTAATTATTACTATTATGTGTCACCCCCTTCATCTTTATAGGCAGTCAAAAATATTCGATTGAAGTGATTTGTACGAGTATAAAGACAACTCAAGGAATGAAGTGTATATCAGAGCAAAGATCGCATACATCGGATCCCAGACATCTACTTGAATAACGTTGGCATCATCGCTGGTCGACGCTGCGG